GGGATCATGACCTGAGCTGAAGGCAGACGCTTAACAACTGAGCCACCCAGGCACCCCCTCAACGCTGCTTTTCTTAAAGGGACAATGTTTTATAAACATATAAACAATGTTTTATAAACATTATAATGTTTATAAAAGCCTGAACTGTCATAATGTTAAGAGATTATACCTATTCTTTCTTTTCCTAAGAAAGATTTCTGGAGTGGGAACAGCCCCATCTGCCACCCTAACCCCAGTCTAGGAAGGCAAGTTAGTTTGGATGTGCATGTGTCAGAATCTACTCCAGGGGAATGTAATAAAGATGATCCAAGTCAACTGGGCGGACCAAGATGTGGTCAGAGTCAGGGCTGGCAGGGGTGAGGAGGGAGCCTCGCATTATCCCTCACTTGGTATGAAGGCATCAGCAACACCCAATATAAAGAGGGAAATTTCTTCTTTGAATAAATTGGAAATCAACCAGATTGAGGTCTCATTTGAATAAAAAACAAGTGAAAGGCATCTAAAACCATCGTGATGGCCTTTCTGTACTGTGTAGAGACCCACGTGCTGAGTCTGGCCTGCTTTCAAATGTGATGAAGAATTAAGGGAGTTAGCACCTACCCAGGGCTGTGAATGTCCTGACAGTGAATGGGCCTCTTTACTTTCCCTGAAGGTTAGCCATACACAATCCTAAAGATGGAAAATACCGCACGTACCCATATGGGAGTCTCACCTCTGGAGACGAGGAAGAAATGAGCATCTAACAAACCACCACCTAACTGAGTATGGACTCTGCAGCAACACACGAGCCAAACCAAGCCTCCTGTGTCAACAGGCTTACTTCCCCCAGTTGCCATGTCACTCCCTGGTGCAGAGCATCAGAAAGCCCATCTCAGAAGGCCCAGAGGAGGAACTCTGGGCCACAGCTGAAAAGCAACTCTTGCTGGGGTATCTGAAAGGTCAGGTATAATTCTGAGACTCCATGTCAGCCAGAGACCAGAGATAGGAGAAGCCTTTCTCAGATGAAGGCTTTCCCACAAACTACCACTTACCCTCAGGAAGGGCAGAAAACTATTTCCTTGTTGAAACTACTCTGGTCATAAAACAACAAAACAAGGCTTTGAAATGAGCCAATAAACCAAGTGAGTGTGTGTGTGCAGTGAAGGGTTAACTCAGCAGGCCTGGACTGTCCGAAACCTACACTTTTCAAAGACAGGGCTGGCCCCCACCTAGCTCCTGGGAGGTCACCTGAGCCCCTGGTGCATAAGGCACAGTGTCCTGAACACATGAGAAGAGAAGGCGCAAACAAATACAACGCCTTACACCACGTAACTTCAGGCATATCCAGAAAAAGGCCTTTTATTTGGATAAGTTTATAAACCTTATCACATATAAAATATAAAGTTCACAGATCTAAAATTGAAATCTCAAATACAAGCCAGATGACTAACTCACACCAAGAAAACCACGATGGGTTTTTTTCTTTTCTTCTTTGCAAGAGAAGCTGCGCTCGGACAGACCACGGCTGCGGGAGTATGATCGCCACGCAGCACTTGCTAACGGCGAAACCAGTGCAGAAACCGGCTCTGGCCCCGGCTCCGCCTCCCGCACTGTTTTAGCACGTGTGGGCTCACCTTCACACTCAAGCTCAGTGTGGATCTCTCCTCGACGCCAGAAAGCAAAATGCTCCCCAAGACCCTGGTGAGGTGTTAAAAGGACACAAAAGCCAATTCGAGGGACTCTCACCAGGCAAGCTGTCCCCATTTAAGCATCGGAAGTGAATGTAAATCATAACAAGTTATAACTACAAAAAGCATACTTCTAAAAGAAAACATATGTGAAGCATTTTACTTGGGTCATAAAATTTAAGTCATTACAAAAATTATGGTTTAAACCGTAACAACTGATACAAATAAATGACCAAAAGTAAGATTACTAAGCTTCTCTTTAAAGGGCGCATTGTCTGTAATTCTGGGGCTGAGAGATTATCCCATCATAGCAGAATTTAAAAACGTGACATTTTGGGGCCAGTGGCAGAGGACTCAGGCTGATGTGATTTCCTAGTACTGGGTGTGCTGGGGGGCGGGGGATGTAGGGAGAGCAGGGAGGCAGGAAGACTGAGGCCTTTGGCAGAATGAGTCACACTCCAGCAAACTGTCTCACCATCTGCCTGGTCACCACCATGACAAGAACCAGGGAGTCTGCAAACCACCCCCGCCCCACACGGTCCTGTCCGCATCTCTGCAGCCACACCTCTCTCTCCCACCAGCCTGGTCTCCCTGTACCTCTCCTGGCCTCCCCACTGCGTTCTTTCTTTGACAGTAGCCTCAGGGTTCCTTTCTAACACCCAGATCTGTTCCAGTGCCTCCAGCTGCCCACCGTTTGGTTCAAGTCCAAACTCCTTCCTTGGCTGTCACCCCACGACCTGTCCAGCCATCACCCAGCACACACTCATCTTCTGTGCTCCAGGCCAACTGAACAGCAAGGTGTGGTCACATGACTGGCTCTGGCCAATGGGGTGTGTGGGGAGGGAACAGACTGATGGGTGCTCTCTTTTGGGTCTTGCCCTTACGAGGACCACACTTCCTGCTGTCTAATACCTTCTGCCTCCATACTGGCTGGGGGTGGTGAAAATCAGAGCAGCTGTCTCAGACCCAGAGAACGCGGAGGTCAGCAGGGCTAACCCCCAGCGTAGGCCCACCTAGCTCTGAACTGTTGTGAGAAAATTAATTCTCTTATGTAAGCCACTGTATTTTGGGGTCTTCATTACAGCACCTTTACCTAAATTTTAAAAGACACAAATGTATCACAGCACCTACATGATCATGGAATCATGGGATTGCCCATCTGTCTCTCTCTACTGTCAGTCTCTGAAGGTCTCTGAGAAGTACAACTGTCTTAGATTTTTTTGGTATCCCTGACACCCAGAAAAAGAACCAGCACAGAGCAAGGGCATGCCAAACGTTGCCTAATAAGTGAATGAGCGAATGCACAGTCCACAGTGCCCACCAGTATTCAACTCATTCGGGACCTGGGTGTCTGTTAAGATTCTAGGAGACTCCCGGCCAATCTGGGAAAGCAGCTGACCCACCTGTCACCTCTGCCAACCGAGGGCTCGAGCCTTTGCGGCACCCTTACCTCATCCTTCAGCTGAGCCAGGAAGAGGGGCAAGAGGTGCTCAATGGTGTTGTCTTTGCCCAGGATGGGCGAGAGGCCCATGATGACGGAGGCCAGGGCCGACTTCACGTGTTGGTTGGCATCTGACACCAGCTCCTGGGAGGGAGAAGGAAGGGGGAGCCACAGGGTCAGGATGACCCCTGCAGCAGCAAGTGACCAAGCACACTCCCACCTGCTATGAGGCCTGAGCCCTGGCCTGCTTCTGCCCTTCTCCCTCATGGAGCAGGGATGGTTTAGGGTACAAAGGTATAAGGCAGTTTCTTTACCTGTCCCGCCTGCTTAGAGCTCCATGAGCCTGCTCCTAGAAGCCCCCCACCCTAAGGCCAAAGCTCTTAGAACTTTTGAGGGGAAGCACTCCCACTCCAAGCTCAGCCCCAAACCTCAGATTCTGCCTGCACTCAGGGACCCCACCTGCTTCCAACCCAACACCGCCCAGTCCTAGAAGGCTGGGGACTGTTTGCCTCTGAATGTCCATAAAGCCCAATGTCCACCCCTCCTCTTCAGCAGGCTAAGATCTGCCCTATTCCTCCCACCAAACTCCTTGTTACCTTGATGCAGGGTAAGATCTGGGTCATGATCACATTCTCCCGACAGTCAGCTGAGAGATTTTCACAGAATTCTGCGGGAGGGAGAAGGGAGGCAGAGGAAGGTGAGACCTGATGTCCTGGTTCTGCCTCGGGCCACTCGGACACCCTCCCATTTGCTGTGTTCTGGTTGCCAGCACCAACCTTTGACCTTGTGGGAGGCTGCGGCCCTCACCTCGGCCTCACAGTCTTTCATCAGGTTCTGGAAGGCAGGCACCAGGTCTGTCTTGGTGATCTCAGGCCCCACTGCTTTCTGGAGCTGCAGACAGAAAGCAGGGGGAGTGAGAGGGCTGGGCAGTACTCTGGGTGAATGAGACCAGAATCAAAGTTAAAGGCACCAGAACTGGGGGTGAGAAGAATGCGGTCCTCGGAATCACTGCTGAGATCTACTCCCAGCACCACAGGGTGAGCCCAGGCAGGTCTCCAAGTCTCTCTGAGCCTGTTTCCTCAAAAGCAGAATGAGGGCCATGAGAGTACCTACCGCACAGTGTTGTCTGCATTAAAAATAACAACAGGTCTCCTTACTGCTCAAGCCATTTGGGGTGGGGTTTTCTGTTATCTGATCCAAAAACATTCTAGTGGTATGGCTCCTCCTTTTTATTAATTTTAGTTAAATATTAATTTTAATTTATATTCTTCTGTATTTTTCAAATTGGTTACCCGACCCTGTATTACTCTTGTAACGAGATGACGCGTCAAGACTGAGGGGGAAGAAGGCATGCCAGGGAAGGCACCTGTGTTCTGCTGCAAAGCTGGCTCCTGAAGACTTCGCAGGAAGCAGGACAGCTCATGACTAAGAAGGCAACAAACAAAAACTCTGAAGGGCCCAATGCTACCTGGGGCAAATGCTGCCCCTCAGACAAAACAGGACACCTACTGAGTGTCTCCTGGGCACTGCGCACTGCTTAACTCTAAAATCCCTGCCTTCATTGAGCTTTTATCTAAAACCCAGTGTGATCCAGTTCATGCTGTCCAGAAGCCGAGGATGGAAGAATCGTCTTTAACCAGGTGCTGAGCCTCCAGGGTGCAGCCGCCCTGTGCTAACATTTTCACGGGGAACACGGATGGTCCAGGAAATGTTATCCTGAGGCTCCAAGTCCTTCCAGCAAACACCATGGAAATAAGCACACTCACAGGAACAGGGAGCCACGGGGTAGAACGGCACCCAAGACTCGAACCCTGTGCTTCTCTCCAGCTTTCTCTCATGTGGGGCCCCCAAGAGCAAGTCCTGAATGTTCTCACTTGCACTGGTTCTGGACTCCCAGGGCTCCATGCACATGCTGTCCTTTTGTTGGAACACAGTCCTAACCCAGCTCTCACCCACTCATCTTCTAGAACCAGCTGCAGCACCACCTCCTCTTCTCAATGCGCCACGCAGGTCTGTCGGCTCTGGGGCTGACAGTTTCCCTCTATCTCAGCGGACCCTCCCCTTCAGGCTGCCTGCTCCTTGGGGAGGCTGGGAATATGAATTCACTGGATCCCCAGCACCCACAAAAAGAGCTGATGCTCAACAAACATGATGGTGGGATAAGCAAACTTGAGTCTCTGTGGAAAGAGCACTGTCCTAGGATCTTGTCAGAGACCTGGGATCTTTTCCTTGTTCTGCCTGCCTGGTGGTATCATTCTGACCAGTTCTGAGCTGTGCTATGGGCTGAACTGAGCCTCCAAAATTCCTATGTTGCAGGCCCTAACCCCTCAGTACCTCAGAAAGTGACTGTATTTGAAGACAGGGTTTTAAGAGGTAATTAAGGTGGCCCTACTCCAAAATGACTGGAATCCTTATAAGAGGGGGAGATTAGGACACAGGCATGCACAGAGGGGAGACCATGTGAAGATATGGGAAAAGACCATCTACAAGCCAAGAAAAGAAGTCTCGGAGGGGCGCTTGGGTGGCTCAGTCAGTTAAGTGCCGGACTCTTGATTTTGGCTCAGGTAATGATCTCAGGGTCCTGGGATCAAGCCCTCCGGTGGACAAGTCTACTTGTCCCTCTCTCTCTGTTCCTCCTCTCTCACTCAATAAATAAGTAAATAAAATCTTAAAAAAAAAAAAGTCCAGGACTAATCTCCAGCACAGTGAGGGAATAAAGTACCCTCCAGTCTGTGGTACTGTGTCATGGCAGCCCCCAAAACTAATACAGGCTATGCCCTCCCTTTTGTAAAAAGGGAGAGTTCGATTAGGTCAAGAGCACACACATATTACCCTTCTCTGCTCTGTGGCTCTCCACAGAACCTGAACTTGGCTTCAGAATCCTTCCCAACACAGCTCTTCAAGTTGCGACTATTACTCAACCCGGGTTGGCAATATGAAGTGAGACGCAGCCAGATGATCAGAGATCTTACTGCTCAAACACCCAATAATTTGTTGGATATAACTAAAAACCCAGCTTCTACGTGTGGCCCCATCCCTACCCCTCTGAGGGCCTCAGTTTCCCCATCTGTGAGTTGTGAACCGTCCCCACCTCTGTGAACTTGTCAGCCACCATGTATCGGACGCGCCAGGACTTGTCCTCAGCAGCCTGGCGCAGAGTGGGCATCACCAGGGCCTCCAGATCCTCCTGGGGTAGTAGCTGGGCGATGTTCACACATGCCTCCACCGCCAGCAGCCGCACCGAGTCCTGCGGAGAGGATCAGAGCTGTGAGGGCCGCAGAGACCCGTTACCTCTGGGAGTCCCTTTTAGACATAGGATATGCTAGAGGAAGGGGATGGAGTAGGGGGTTGGGGAGCAGAGCCCACCTGCTCGTCAGAGGCCAGGTTGGAGAACATGGGGATGATCTCACTCTTGACATTGTCCAGCTCCAGCACCTTGGCGAACTCCCCCAGCTTGGAGGCTGCGGCCCGCCGCACCATGGGGGTGTCATCTGAGCATAGGTTCCGGAAGTACCTGGGGGTTGGGAGTGGGACTCAGTGGGAGGAAGGCCTAGGATCCCACAGCAGCCACAGAGGAAGAGAGGAGAAAGCAGACGGCAGTCACGCCAAGTCCTGGCTTTGCCTGAGCGACCCCGGACAAGCGATGAGCCCCCGAGTCTTCCCAGGCCTATAGAATGGAGCTGATGGTGATACTTCCCACCGCACAAGGTCATGATGAGGTTTACACGAGATAATGTGCGTGAAAGCAGAGCAGCCGATCTGCACATAGTAAGTCCTAGTGAACGGCAGTTACCGACTGTATCATTCTGACCATATAAAGTTGATGGGCTAAGATGCTGTCCAGGGGTTCCTCAAAGGTTTTACTTTTCAGGAGTGTGGGGGATGCACGCATGCACACAGACCTCTAAGCAAACGTGGGCAGCTGTAAACCAGTATTCTGTCATGTGTAAGAACTCAGGGCCTGGGCTTGCTGCTCAACAGTCTGTGCAGTTGGTGAGTGAACGATGTCCAGAGGGAGGGGAAGAAACACATACTAATGGGAAATTTTAATCCAATTAGAAGCATTTTCATTCACTGTTCCTGGAGAGGAGTCTTACATACAAGGAATTCTCTGGAGTATCAAGCCTAAGGGGAGGAGGGCGGAGGAGGCGGCCAAACTGAGCCAGTATATCTGTGAGGGTTCTGGACCGGGGGCAGGCCTGAAATGGCACCCACCTCACGGGTGGGGTGCTTTTATGAGCCAGATCTGTCCCCAGCACTTTGTATGTGGTCGTTCTTGTAAATCCTCACGATGCCCAATGGGAGGAAGGAGCTATCATTTCTCCATTTCCTAAATGAGCAAGAGGCTGTGTCTGGACCCGGCCTGGGGACGCCGCTCTCTGAGGAGCGGAGGAGGGGCAGAGTGGGGGCTGAGCCTGAGAGAAGGGGTCCAAGCTGAGGGAAGGCTGGGACTCACTGTCGAAGTTCTGCCTTGACGGCGCTGGACACGCGGGGGTAGCAGACAGAGAAGAGGCCGCAAGCTGAGGTGCGGGAGGTGAACCAGTCGCCGCCCGCCAACCGCTTCACCAGAGGCACGAAGTGGGCCTCGAGGTCAGAGGGTGAGTGCTCGTGTGAGATGGCCCGCAAGGACTCCACCGCCTTATCCCGCACCACCGTCTCTTCCACCGTGGCCAGCGACTCCAGGGGTGGCTGCGGGACAGAGCACAAGGTCACAGCAGGTCCCCTCCTCACCACCCCAGCCTCGAGCCCTACCCCATGCCCCTCGTGGCTCATCTCCTCAGAGAAACCTTCCTTGACCTCTCCACCTGCAGGCCTTCCTGAAGAGCCCTAACAAAGAGCCTCACATAGAGGCCCTTGAAGGAGCTTCATTGAGGGCCATGATCCTCACAATTCTACCTATCACTTTCTGAGCAGAGGGCCACAGCTGTCCTTGGCTCCTCACAGTGCATGGATAATCATGGATACTGACTGGAACATCTATCTGCTGGGTGTCCTAAGCAGGGTCACTGTGTCACACAACCTGGGACCTGGGGGGGGGGGTGGTGGTGGAAGAGAACAGGGGACAATGTCGACTCTATGAAGCAGGTCCCGTGACGGTCTTCATTTTACAGAAGAGGAAACTGAGGCAGGTAAGTTAAATTAACTTGCCCACTCTAGTGCTAGCTGCAAGACAGGATCCAAACCAGGCCACTGGGTTCCCGAGTTTGCAAAGGGTTAAAAGCACGGCTGTGGTTTCTGATAGGGGACTGCCCCAGGAGCTCACGTGACTGGCAAACCTGAAGCTTGGGACCGCAGGCCTGGAGGGGTCCTGCTCCTTTAGGGACATCTGACTGGTTCATCACATGTCCCCAGGGCCCAGCAGAGCTCCTCGGACAGGGCGGGAGCTCAGCAATTACTGACTGAATAAAGGGAGGCTTAGGTGATTCTAGTCTGTTCAAATAAAGGTGTGAAGATCTGCGGTCTGAAGTCCAGAGTGGCCTGACAGGTGTAGAAGGCAGGAAGAAATCGTACACGGAAATGCCTCCAGAACCCAAGCAGGCAAGAGAATGGAGCAAGGAGCAAAGGTGGCGGGTGGGGACAACCGAAGGAGGCAGAAACTGTGGCATGTAGCCTAGGAAGGACAACTGCTTCCCAGCTCCATCAACTGTCTCCCCAGGAAAACACAGCTGGTAAAAGCAATCAGTTTTCCAAAAGCAGCCAAAGGGGCCAGGTGTGTATATATCAAAAATCTCATTTAACACATGCTACACCATGCATGAACACTGAAGACATTATGCTGAGTGAAGTAAGGCAGTCAGAGAAGGCCACACGTTGTAGGATTCCTTTGTATGAAGACCCTGGAGTAACCAGACTCACAGACACAGAGAGTGGAATGGTGGGCCCCAAGGGGCAGGGGAGGAGGGGATATGGGGAGTTACTGGTCAATGGGGGAAGATGACAGATGGTGATGGTGGCTGCACCACAATGTGAACACACTTAATGCCACAAAACCGTACCCTTAAAAACAGCTGTTGGTATTTTTAACCACAATGGATAAACAAAAAAAATTCACAAAAGACTGGCAGTGATTCAAGAGGAAAATGTGACACTATGGCAGCCTGGGGGCCGCCAGTGTGTGGCCTCTGTCCTAACGCCATGCTATCGCAGGGTCTCTGGCTCTGTCTCATGGGAGTGCGGCTGAAGGTGGTGACACTGGGCTACTGAAGGGACTGGGCTCCTCTCTGCTCCTGGTCTTCCCGCTTCCCACGCCGGCACACGGGAGGTGGGTCCGCAGTCAGTATGTGCCATTCACCTGTTCCATCCAGAGAGTGACCGAGGCCAAGTGGTACTTATGTCGCGCCAGGGTGCCGGCCCTAGGGGGTCGCTGCGGGCGGTGGTTCGCACAGTGAGGTCTGTGATCACCCAGGAGGCCTAGCGCACTCAGCACAGACCAACAGAATCAGACCCTCCAGGGCGGGGCCCAGGAAGGTGCATGTTTAGGAAACTCCAAGGGATGCTTTCCCACAATGAGAAGTCGTGCTGGGGGTTCTCCATGAAGGAGAGAGGGCAGAGTTCTCAAACCCAGAGAACATGCGGGGGAGGGGTGTGAACCTCCTAAAATCACTGTACTTTTAGGAGGCTCTAGAGTTTTCATCAGATTTTCAAAGCGACCCAGGATTCCAAAACGGTTAAGAGCTGTAGATACAGAATCAATCCTTGTGCTGTAGCTACGCGGCTCCCTGTGAAATTAATCCCATTTCACCCCTCCAGAGACACGAGGGCTGGATGGGCTCTGACACACCTCTGGGTTCCGGAGCCCATACTTGGTACTCCTGTTCGTGGAGCGAACAAATTGCACAATAGCCATTTTCCATTTCTCTTTGTCAAAATCCAGATCCATTGGTACCTCCTCCAGGAGGCCTTCGCTGACAGCTCCCCCTTCCCATCCGGAACAGGTCAGGTGCCTCCTCCAGGTTCTAAGGTCCCCCAGCTTCCCTCTTGCCCAGCTCTAATCAGCCTGTAGAGCTACTGAGAGCCCTTGGGGGGGGGGCGGTGAGAGAGAGGAGTGGCAGTGATTAAGAGGCAGGAGCCTGGGTTTGAATCCTGACTCTGTCTCCTCCCAGCTCAGGGAATTCAACCTAAACCAGACCTCGAGCCTCAGTTTCCTTCCTCATCTGTGAACTGGGGCTAGCACCAGTGTGCATCTCATAGGGCCCCTAGGGGACATGACAGGTGACTGTGCAGAAGGCACCTGCAGGCACCAAGGAGCACCAGCATTCGGGTCTGACTGGCCTCTGGGCTACCAGTGCTCCCTGGCCCAGGGCCCCCAGGATGAACACTGGTCCCAGAGGACACGTGACTCTTCCCCAAAATATGTGTGGGATGACCCTGACCTGGTAAGGCAAGGACTCCGGGGTTCCAGTCCTGCTCCCCAGCAAGCCTGAGCCCTACACCATCTGAGGGCCTTGGGGCCCCTTGTTGAAGCTATGGGATCCGTGTTTTCTGCTCCCAAGTCCTCTGAGATGCTGCTGAAAGCTACAAATTCTCTCCTCAGTAAAACTGATAAATTCCAGGGCTTACAGAAAGTTCCATGGAGCTCAAGGGACCCCTTTTTCAGGCTGGCCCCCAGACCTCATCATGTTTGTGTTAAGCAGCCCTAATCTGTGTAAAATGCAGGAAATGATCTCATTCGCATACAACTGTCTGTGTGTACATACACATAAATTATACACGTACACACAGATGAAAGCTGACAGACCAGTATTTAATGACAATTATCCAATTTCTTCAGAAACAACACCGTTTAGAAGAAATATCTGTTCAAACCCGAAATCCCCTCAATTTTAAGAAATGCCATTATCTTATACACCACTAAAAGGAAAAAGGCTACTAATAAAAATTAAGACATCATTAAGTGCAGATGCCAAATATAAAACTGTGTCTTCAGAAGCATGACATACAGGATTATCGGGGGCAGGGGGAGAGCAGGCAGGAGCAGTGACCTGGGGCTCTGAGGAACAACGAAAACCAAGGGGCTCGGAAACCCGAGGCTCCTCCTTCCCGGATGGCAGGACCAGAGTCTTTCCCTGGTGACAATGGAGTCCACCTTGCTCTTCTCACAAACAGCAGTTACTATTAGTATCTGACCCATCTCTGTGTCCCTAGCCATCACCAAGCACAGGGGCGCACAGGCAGGCACCTGAAATCCCAGCTCTGCTACTTACTACCTGCGAGGCCTTGGCCAAGGTGCTTACCCCTCAGTGTGCCCAGTGGCTCATCTACAAAAAGGGAAATGTCCCTACCCCAAAGGGTGGACATGACCTCGTAACATATGGCATAATACCACTGGCAGCTAACACCTGATAGTATTTACCATGTGCCAAGTACCACACCAAGGGCTTTAATCAATTAAAAAGATACATTTTAATGACTCCCATTTTACGGATGAGGAAAGTATAACACAGAGAGGTTAAGTAACTCTTACAAGTTGCACAGCAAAAGAGTGATAGAACTCAGACTGCCTCCAAGCCCAAAGCCCTCTATTTTGGGCCAAGTGCCCAGCTAACAGGAAGATAAACAAGTGTATTTTTGGTATTGCTATATGAAACGCTACTACTAATCTGCTGGATTAAAGGGAATGTCCAAGGCTTGCCTGTTCCTAGAACGTGACCCCCAGCCTCTCCTGCATTCTTCCCATCCCGCTCCTGGCAGGGCCATGGATCTGACCCCCAAGGGGTGGGCAGGAGACCTCCCTGCCTCCAGACTCACCAGCAGGCAGTGCACGTACTCGGGGCCTCCCACCAGCGTAGTGAAGGTTCCCAGCTGTTCTGCCAGGGCCAAGAGGACCTCATCCTCATCGTAGATGGTGTCTGTGGAACAAAGACAGACTCTGTTACAGTCCCATGCCAAGTCTGACTCCAGCCCCTGAGTGACCCAAGCTGGGAACAAGCAGGCTCCATTCTGCTTCCTCTAACTCTCACCCTCCACCCTGACTGGTGCAGAGATCAAGGTGCAGGCTTGGGTCAGAGGACAGAGCACCAAAGTCCCTCTTCTGCCCTTTACTAGGTGAGGGACACTGGGTGAGTGAGACCAGTCTGCGAACCCATTTCTGCACCTGTAAAATGGTGCTAATGTACATCTCAGCGGGAATTACAGTGAGGAGCAAACAAGACCATGCACATGAGCACAGAGCCTGGTAAATGGGGGCTTTTCGGTTTGGTCCAGCTTTTACCCTCAGCACTGCCTTCTCTGCCAAGAACTAATCTTTCTCTTCAGCCTGAGAAATTCTTCTCCATCCTTCAAGATTCAGTTCAGGTTTCCTGACCAGACCAGGGCACGTCCCTTCTCGACGCTCCCCTCAATCCCAAGCCACCTTTACCAGAGTCCTTAGGAGTCCAGGACCGGCTCCTCTCTGTACCCCAGTTTCTGCCAGAGATGAGCACAGCAGGAGCTCAGTCCAGGTTTGCTGGAAGGACATCGGATGACTGTGTAAAGATAGAGCCGCTGTGTCCTAATGCTCAAACCAAAGGCCTTTCTCAACGGCTGACCCGTATGGCAGAAGATGCTTCCAGCAGGAACTGCTGACCTTTGTGGCAGAAGACGCTAACATCCCTGACATCTATGCTGGAATTTCAACTTGCCGAGATTAAGCCAAGCATACGGCAGCCCCGCCAGACATCTCCAGGCTCCCCTGCAGCTGGCAGGCCAAGGGACCCTGCTCTGGCCCATGGGGTGTGAGAAGTGGTAGGTTCACGCTCTGGGTCACTTCCTCACCACCCTCTCTGCTCATGGGGCTGTCCTCACCCTCCTCACCTTGTGGTGGGTTCTCTGCTCTACTGCTGGCTGGGTGTGCGGCCATTCACTTCACCTCTGAGCCTGTTTTCTCACCCCACATGCCAACAGAGCTGTGTGAGACCAAAGCCAAGTGATGTTTTCTGTGAAGAGCTCAGCATGGGGTCTGGCCCGAGTCAGCGCTTCAGAGAACACACCAGTGTGGCTCCGGGCCCACCAGGCCCTTGGGTCCTTCCCAGCCTCAGTTTCCCTGGCCCTCTCTGTACACAGTTAACTTCACCCTCCCCATTTTCTCTATCTCCCGGAGACCTTGTGCATATCCATGGCCTCAATTCGTATTCAACTCAGTCCTCAGTCCAGACTCCCTGGCCCAGCCGCGTTCCTGAAAGCCAAATACGTGGAACCTGCCAGTACCTCCTATTTTCATGGTCCCCACCCCCACAGAACCGCCTTCCCAGCCTCCCCATCTTCTTGGCCTCAGAGGCTTAGGGATGCCTCCTCCCCACCTCTCTGATGCAGACCTGTCCACCGTCCACCTCAGTGTCACTCTGATGACCACCATCTTGCTGGATGACTACAACTGCTTCCTAACTGATTTTTCTGCTTCTGCCCTGGCCCCCAAACCACCCAGCTTCCTTCCACAGTCCTGAGTGATGCTTTAAATCATGACACTCCCCTACCTCCATCTTCCAATGGTTTCTAAGGAACATGAATTAAAATCCTGACTCCATACACCATGATCCCAGGTGATGTGGCCACTGTACCGATCTCCAACCCACATCTTCCCTCCAACACTGTGCCCATCCACGCCTGCCTCTTCCTGTACCTGGAACATTCTTCTCCCAAAGTCCTACACGGCAGGTGCCATTCAGACCACAGCCCCAGGAAGACCTGCCCTGGCCACCACTGGAATATCCCTTACCCTTATTTCCACTTTGTGTCTCTCTGGCTTCATCACTACTTATTCCCCTGATTGGAACAGAAGCTCCATGAAGACGGGAACTTTGATTTGCTCTCCATCTCACAGCCCACAGTGGTGTGCATTAGATATTTATGAAATATGCCTACAAATGGCCTCCTTCGAAGTATTTTTTAACTATACTGTGTATTAGCTTAAATGAACCCAGATCTTTTAAACAGAAAAGACTCTGTCCTGAACTTGAAGAGATGCCATGAACGCGACGAAAGGCAGCAGCAAGCCACTCTCCTCTGCTCAGGGAATCTGCATTCATACACCTTCCCAACAAAACCACGTGGTATGTTTAAGGCAAATCTGGGATTTCTGAGGATACTTTTCACTGGTGTTTGCCTGGGTACAAGTCTTTAAATGGCAGGTGACTTTTCAGCACTGGCACACACAAGTGACCTGACTCACCTTGGAACCCATCCACATCTCACTATGGCCAAAAAATTACCAACACCTGTTTCCAACACACTGGGGCATCACGTGGTAATTTTCCCCTCATAACACTGTGATTGTTCTGTAGGTGTGAGCTGAGAGAGGGCTTTCAGCTTGTTCTGAAACAGTATCACCTTTTCTGAAAGACGCAATGTATCTACCATTTGCTATTTTGAACATTTTGCAAAGGGTGAAGCCCAAAGGAAAGAAAATCTGCCACCACTTAACGAAAGCACCCCAAAGAAATGTGTCTTGAATGCCTGACTCCTCTTCCATCTCATGGCTTCTACAGTTCCTCTCACTTGCATTACTGTGATGTCACATGTGGCTCTATGATGAAATAAAGAGGACACATATGTTAGATTCACTGAATTTTGGGGCGCCTGGGTGGCTCAGCTGGTTAAGTATCTGCCTTCGGCTCAGGTCATGATTCCGGGGTCCTGGGATCAAGTCCCGTATCGGGCTCCCTGCTCAGCGGGGAGCCTGCTTCTCCCTCTGCCTGCCACCACCCCTCCTTGTGCTCACTCTCTCCACCTCTGTCAAATAAATCTTTAAAAAAAAATTCACTGAATCTTAACAACAGCCCACATATTAGGTGATGATTCCCGTTTTACAGAGGAAATGAAGCATGTCCTGGCTGGGACTGAACCAGGTTGCCCAACCCCTGGGTCTTTGCTCTCAGCCACTGACCCCAAGTCGACTGCCTCTGCTGTTTTCTTGCCCATACCCGCCCCCCCCTTACAATGCTGTGTGCACAGGTTTATTTTCTACATCTCATTCGCCCACCCTCCAGAACCTATCTACAATGGCTGCCTACCTTCACCTATAGGATTAATCCCAGACTGCCGCCTGGCACTCAGAATTGGCAAACCCCCCCCCACCACCACCACCACCTGCCCCTGTGCCTCTCCCTTCATCCAATCACCATGTTCAATCCTGCCTCCATTTGCTGTTTACTCCTGCCAGTCCCCTCCCTCCCCCAGGCTGCCTTCCCGACTACCTCACCATAGAGGGACCAGCACTTCCCAAGCATTTTCTACAGACTCAGCTCCGCATGGAGCACTTAATCCTCAACAGCCCTGAGTTAGGTACTCCTCTTACCCCTTGACAGATAAGGGAGTTGAGGCCAGGGGAAATGGAGTAGCTGACCCAGGTTTGCCAGCAGGCTGGTGGCACAGCTAGATTCAAATCCAGGTCCCACCAACTTCTTTACCCACTTTATTTTCTTTTAATCTTTTACTTATTTGAGAGTGAGAGTGCACGTGAGCTGGGGGGGGGGGTTGAAGGATGGATGACAGAGGGAGAAGCAGGCTCCCCGCTGAGCAGGGAGCCCAAGGTAGGGCTCAATCCCAGGATCATGACCTGAGCCAAAGGCAGACACAACCGACTGAGCCACCCAGGCACCCCCTTTACCCACTTTATTACACCACCATGCCACACATCACACTCCTTGTGGCCCAGCTGCCCCATCTCAGCACTCAAGAGCTTTCAAGTCTTGCCCACAGTTCACCAGTGGAAGCCACTCGGTTCAGGTCACCTGCTCAGTGTCACATGGATACCTGCTCCTCATGTGGTGTTCGCAGGCAGATAAACCTGTGCTCCTCAGTCATTAGCCGTTGTCACCGTGGGCAATCCCTGTGTCTCTATAGGCCTTCATGTCCCCACATGTCAAAAGAAGGAATAATCATCTCTGCTCCCTTCCTCCCCGGCATCACCACTAAGCCCAAATTAAAGGATCAGGTAGGAGTTTCACAGTGACTCTGAGCCTTCAGTTGCTATTTCAATTAGTATAAAGTAGTAATAAGAACAGTGGGAACAGAGGATTTACCTCTAACTGGTGGTCCGGTGTGCGTCAGACACTGTGCTGAGTGCTCTGTACGCATCTTCAGACAGGAGGTGAGCGGGGCAGTCTAACCACTAACACTTAGCAGCTTTTCCCATGTGCTGAGCACGGCCTGTGTGAGCACTTCACATGGCATCTTATTTAATCTTGGTATCAGGTTATACGGTTAGGCCCACTTCACACACGAAGAATCAGAGGCAGGCAGATGTGAAATACCTTGCCCATGGTCACACAGCTAGAAAGTGGTGGGGCTCGGGTTTGAACCCAGGTCGTCAGGACCCTGAGTCATTAACCAGTGCTGTTAAGTCTGCAGCCAGCATGACTAGATAAATAACCCCTGTGGGTCACCTCTTAGCTGTCTCAGGCAAATGTACTCCTTCACCTCTTCAACCCCAGCGTCCTCACCTATAAAATGGGGGCAGCAGTCTTCCCTACCTTAAGGAGCTGCTGTGAGATTAACAACGGGGAGCAATACTCATGTGTACTTACTGAGCAAAGGCCCCCGTTCTGAGGACCATGAACTAACCCAATCCTCACAAGAGAGGGTTGAGAGCACTGCCTGGCACATGGCAGGCAGAGGATAAATGTCAGCAATTACTCTTACTGTTACTTAATGCTCACATCAATGTTAGAGCACATGTGTGTTTAATCTGCACTTTATACATAAAAACTCTAAGGAACAGTTAGGTTAAATGACTCACCTCGAGATACCAGCTTTTAACTGTTAGTGCTGTGATTCAAACCTGGCTCCATCTGCCTCCAGACCCCATTCACCAATCCTGCCTCCACCCCACCGTGCCTAGCACGGGGCAGACCCTCACAGTCTGTTAAATCCCTAACGAGGCCTCTCTTACCTAACATGAACCAAGCCCCCCACCCCCCGGACAGTCCCCACTCCGCCTGGGCCCCAGGAGTCCACCTCCTCACCTGTCAGGAAGGGCAGGAGCTCGCTGCGGGTCCTTTCCACCCCAAGGGCCAGGGCGATGGTGGACAGTTTCTTGATGCTGTTGAGACGAAGCTAATGAGAGAACGAGAAGAGCAGGGAAGAATGTTAGCATGCCCAGACTTAGGGGTGTGTGTCAGCTCCAGACCCAGGCAGCCTCTGGAAGCCTAATGTGTGTAAGGATCTGGCACACACCTACCAAATGACTGAGTCAGTAAATTACAACGGTAGCAGCAGCCTCACCAAAAGCACCCACTGAGTCTTACTGGGCAGACACCCACTCAGTGGTGCTTTCCAAGACCACTCTCTAAAGCTGCACACTGCATCCCCACACGCCTGATCCTCCTCCTCTGCTTTGGTCCCCTCCTGCACTCAGCACCACCTGACACGCTCCAACAGGGGCGGCCACGTTCCAGCACATTTGCTCTGTGCCGGGTCCTAGGCTGGGTACTCACACACACAGGCTCTCACGACAACCGTGAGGTCAGTGCTGTTATAAGTCTCATTCTACATAGGAGGAAACGGGCTTAGGGAACAAAAGTCCCCTCTAAGGGTTACACAGTCCAGATGCTGTGGGGCAGGGACTGAAACCCAGGACCACCAGCTAATATAAAACAGTATTATAACAACAGTGCTGTATAAACAGGAGTACCTTTAGCACTAGTCACAGCACTAGCATAAGGGGTTGAATAGTGGCCCCCAGAAGATATGCTCTAGTCCTAACCCCCAGTACTCAAGAATGTGAAAATAGGGACTTTGCAGATGTAATTAAGTCAGCATCTCAAGATGAAATCATCCCAAATTTAGGGGGGAGTCCTTGTGAAACAGAAGATATGTTTACTGGTCTCTGGCCCTGGTTCCTGCACAGAGTTCCTTGGAATTTCCTCAGTGACAGCAATGTCTTTCGTTCTAATGAAGCATATCTTGGTGGGCTCCTGGATGGGGACTGGTCACCAGAAAGACCAAGCCATAGTCAGAAGCTTGGAACTTTCAGCCCTACCCTCATCACTGGGAGAGCAGCTGGAAATGGACTTAATGATCAACCATGCCTGCATGATGAAGCTTTCACAAAAATCCTCAAAATACAGAGCTTGGGGAGCTTCCAGGTTGGTGAAAACATCCATATACCAAGAGGGTGGCACACCCCAACTGAAGAGGAACAGAAGCTCCTGTATGCAGGACCCTTCCAGACCTCACCCTATGTAGCTCTTCATGTGCGTGTTCATCTAAATCCTTTATCATATCTTTTATGAGATGATAAGCTGATAAACGTTAAGTGTTTCCCTGAGTTCTGTGAGCTGTTCTGAAAAATCATCAATCCAAGGACAGGGTCATGAGAACCTCAATTTGTAGCCAAGTCTGACAGAAGCTGTCAGTAATGTGGGGACCTATTACTTGCGACAGGCGTCTGAAGTGGGGGGTGGTCTTGGGGGACAGAGCCCTTCATCTGCGGGGTTGGCGCGTACTCTGGTGAGAGTTACAACTGAACTGAATTGTAAGACATCCAGCTGGTATTGCAGAGAACTGCTTGGCGTGGGGAAAAACCTCACATGTGGTGGCAGAAGTGTGGAGTGCGGTAGTGATATGAGAGTCAAGGAGACACACAGAAGAGCAAGTTTTCTCTACACAGCTAATGACTGTGTCCTGATAAGACAGAAAAGGAGAAGACACGGGGACACACAGAGCAGAAGGCCATGTGAAGATGGAGGGAGAGATCGAGCAGACGTATCCACAAGCTAAGGAGCGTGAAGAATTGCCAGCAGCCACCACAAGCTACGAGAGAGGCATGAAAGTAATCTTCTTCAGAGCCTCCAGAAGGAAGCAACACTGCTGACACCTTATTTCAAATTTCTGGCCTCCGGAACTGTGAGAATCGTTTTTGTTGCATTAAGCCACCAAATGAGTGGTGATCTGTTGTGGCACCTAGGACTCTAACGTGTTTGGCTAACACAGGACAGGTCTCTCACATGGAGCACTTAGGTGTCAGGACCTCTCTCGATGCTCTCACTCCTAGGGAGGCTGGCATCCAACACCCCCTTTCACGACTGCGGAGACAGGCTCAGAGAGGCAGACACAAGCCGAAGCGAGCACCGAGAGAGCCGGGACCCAGCTGCTCGGATGGCACAGCCCGCTGGGAATGGAAACCCTTGTCTCTCCAGCTCAATAGCGCGGCCTCTCCTCCCGGCTCACAGGGCTGTGGCAGAATGAAGTGAGGTCATGCGCGTGGGAGTGGAGGGAAACACGCTTGTGAGTGAGTAAGCCACTGTCGGACACAGACGAGGCATCCTCTTCCTGGAAGAAGAGGCAGAACAAGAAGGGACAGGGCCCCCTCAGCCGGTTCTCTTCCCAAAGATCCTACATCAGTTCCCTGGTCCCGGGGTTTAAAACTCTGAGATCACAGACAATAATGTGACTGAGGAAATGCCATGGTGGCCTCCCCTTTCAGAAAAATGCATTCACGTTTGTCATACGTCACTGGGTTTTCGGGTTTAACGTGGTCCGAACACTCACCTCTCTGGCAGCAATGAACCTCAAGATGAAGTATTATGAGGCCTGTATCTTATTTAGACAAAAAATAAAACACCTACAGAGACATAACCAAAATACGGGGAACACTAACGGTGAACGAATACAGGCGGTAAATATAAACCTTCCCTGTAAATTGCCAGCAAGTACGTATTTTCAGCATCTTGGGCCACGGAGTCTCTGTCCTAACTACTCAACTGTGCGCTGGCGCAAAAGCAGCCACAGATCCAGACACGTATGCAACCCAAGGGGCAGGGCTGTGTTCCAACAAAACTGCATCTGCAAAAGCAGGCCACGGGCTGAATTCGGTCCATGGACCGTAGTTTACTGGCCTTTGTACAAGTCTTTAAATGTTCTCTAGGTCTGAAGTTTTCCGTAATAAAATATGGGGGAGGGATACTGACTTAGTTGTCTGTTTCCTTCCTCTTTGTCGTCTCCCAGTTAGATCTCTGGGTTCTTCTCTCAGCTGGGCTATGCGGAAACGCGTGCAAGGGCCAGGGCCCCGACAGCTGCGCGCAGCCCTGAGGACGAGACACCAGCAGGGAATGAGCACAAGCACAAGGCCAGCGACAACAGCTGCTAACATCTGACTGCCTGCTATGTGCCTGACAGCATCCAAGTGCTTGACGTGGAGAAGTAACACACTGGATCCTGAGAACTGAGCTCCGAGGTAGGTATTGTTTTAAGGGTGAGGATGCTGAGGCACAGAGACGCTGTCATTTGCCAGAAAGCAGCAGAGCCCACACTGGAAGCCAGGCACCCGGACTCTTCATCTCAACATCTCTGTAGTTTAGGAAAGGTACCCAAGGGGTGGGCGCATAGGAATCAGGCCATCTCTGCCATGCTGGAGAGCCCCCCTCCCTCCTGTCTCTGGAGATGCTGGTTTTGGTGTCGTCGAGAATGTCAGCTTGCTTTCATCAGTCAGCACAGACGGCACCAGGAACACTCAAGAAAGGCAGTACAGGGTGGCACTCTGGAGCCACGTGGTCTGGGTTCAAGGCTAAGCAGCTTGGGATCTTGGGCCACTCTGTACCTTTCTGGGCCTCAATTTCCTCACCTGTGAAATGGGGATTATAATACCACCCATCCTCAGGTTACTGTGAGTACCAAGGACATAAACCTGGGAACACCCTCTGTGACCTCACCCTGTTGACAGCATCCCGATTTTGTTCAGATACCACAAGAAGGGCACGCGTGGCAGCAGGCTAGCTGTCCCCCCAGGTCTCCTTTCCTTTCTCTTACGGTGAAAGAAAAATAATAATAAATACTCCCATGGTGCATACGGTGTGCCAGGCACCGTTCTAGGTGCCTTCATGTCTTAACTCATTTGATCCTCGAGACAACCTCGTGAAGATTCTGGATCAACCATTACGTGGCCAAGGAAACAAAGGCACAGGGAGGTTAAGTAACCTCACACAGCTTATAGGTGGCAGAGCCAGGATGAGAACCCCAGTCACCTGGCTCTTAACAAGTACCATCAATTTGCATTTCTGTGTTTTTAATTTGGGGGGGAGGGTAGTGGTGCCCTGAGCAGGTCTAATAACCACAATTTTGAAACAGAGGAGAACACAGACAACACTAGAAGTACCTGCAACAGCTGAAATGAGATGTGCACAGTCATGATTTCCACAGGCTTTGCTGACACTATTTACATTTTGCTATTGTAATACTACAATTCATAATAGGAGGAAGGTTAAATTGGAGTTACAGGTTATTGAAAATAAAGATGTTATTTTCCCCATCCGAATTCACGGACCTGTGCTGGAATTCTGGACGCGCCCCAGGTTAAGAGCTCCTGCACTGGGTTACACTGCCGCTCATAACTCCTGGTTTTCAGACGTGCACACGACTCCCAGGAAAAGACATTTCTGAATTGCCTTTTCATCCAACATGACCAGGAGATTAACACCCAGCCAGTGAAATCCCAGTGGGAATGGTGTGTGTGACTTCTAGGAAGTGTCCTTAAGGGGACCTGCGGTCACACTCTTCTTCCCTCTTTCCTGCATGGAATGGGGGGCTATGATGGCTGGGCTTCAGCAGCCACCTGGGGATCATGAGGTAACCTGGAGATGGGGAGGGCAGGATGGAGGACATACAAGCAGAGTACAACACGGAAGAGCCTGAGACCCTGACACCAAAGAGTGAAAGAGTGGCACACCAGCCTGCACGGCCATCAGACTTTTTGGTCATAAGCCAGAAATAAACTTCAAGCCATTTAAGCCTGTTTTAGAATTTTTCTCTTATTTATAGACAAAATGAATTCCAGTGAACTCAGCACATGACCTAGTTCTGGACAAAGAGACAAGGGCAAGTCAGCCAAGGAGCTTCAAAAAAGATTTTCCTCCCTGGGGGGGGGGGAAGGGAGGATGACAAGGTAAAAAAACGCCTCTGTCCTGCGTTCTCTGTGACATTCCTTATGGAGCAGCTATTAATAACATCAGTAAGAAATCCTTACTGTCCCTTGATCGTGGCATAGTGCTGAAGTCAGGGCTGTGCACGGCCCCCCAAGCAGGTACCTGTCAAGCACCGTGACGTTCCACATAGGTGGT